TTAACATGCAGTTATGTTCAGCCTTTGTTGCACCCATTATAAAAGGGTGACAAATTAAGTAAATCTCAGTGTCTAATGAATGACTTAAAAAGGGAGTAGATGATAAAAAATTCTTATGCATCTGTTGTGGGAAGTTTGATGTACGCTCAAACGTGTACTAGACCAGATATCGGATATACTGTTGGTATGTTGGGAAGATATTAAAGTGATCTTGAAATTAAACACTAGAAAACTGCAAAGAAGATTATGAGGTATTTTCAAGGGACAAAAGATTATATGCTTACATATAAAATATCAGAACAATTAGAGGTGATTGGATATTCAGACTCAGATTATGATGATTGTCATGATAGCTTAAGGTCTGCTTCAGGTTTTGTCTTTATGCTAGTAAATGGGATAATTTCGTAGAAGAGTGTAAAGTAGTCCATTACTGCCTTATTCACAATGGAGGCTGAGTTTATAGCATGTTTTGAAGCCTCGAGTCATACCTTGTGGTTGTAGAATTTCATCTCAAGATTTGGTGTTGTTGACTATATTACCAAGTCACTGAAAATACTTTGTAATAATATCGCAGGTGTTTTCTTCTTTAAGAATGACAAATATTCTAGTGGATCTAAACACTTGCACTTAAAGTATTTAGTTGTTAGAGAAAGAACCCAGAAACAACAAGTGTTTATTGAAAATATTAGTACTATACTTATGATTGTTGATCCATTAACTAAAAGACTAACTCCAACGATATGTGTAGAACATATTGTAAGGTTAGGTCTTTTAAGTAATCCATAATATGACGATAGATGTTTCAATAGTTGAATAACTGACATTTTGCACATTAAAGTTTATTTCTGTTATTTCTTATTTTTAATCATTAATGCATAATTTAGTATTTAATCAACAGAGAATGTCTTGATAAAACAAATTATAGAGATTGTTTTGGCATTATGAACATAATTAGTAAAGGTTATTGATGTGTGGTACATAGAAAAAAAATATTATATTGAAGTCATGTAACTGCTGTGATTTATATTTATAATTTAAATTATTTCAGTATTATGGTATAATAATTTTAGACTTGTTGGTTGATTTTATCAGGATCACATATTAAATTTATTTATCAATAAATATATTTTTAATATAAAAATGTATATATATATATTACTATAGTTTTCATAATCAGTTTGTGGGTCAAATAAAAGAACGTTAATTCTAGTGATTAAGCGGATGACCCATTAATTTGATATTTTATTTTTTCTCATCCACTCATAACGGTTGAAACTAAATGAAAGAACACACAAATATAGATAACCATTATAAAAGAAAATGTATCTTGATATAGTGGGTAACTTTAAAATAAATTATAAAATTATTATATTTTATCCGTATTAAACTACAATAACAGAAACGATTATCAATACATTCAATCATCATGAATTTGCTTTGATCTCTTCTTTCATTTATAAAAGAAGTACATGTTTTCCTTTTATTTGAGTTTTTTATCAACTAAAATTTCAAAATTTTTATGTATAACAGTTAGATAGAGAGAAAAAGTGACTCAGAGAATAAAATTTTTTTCTAAGGGGTCTCTCAATCACGTTATGATTGCATCATCTTCGAATGATATATAGTTATAACTTTCTGATACTTTTCTTTTCTTAAGATGTGTTAAATTCAATAAAATAACTTTCACATCAAATTTTCTCACATCTAGAGCTTCCTAGGTTTCAATCATGCCTTCCTAACTTAAGAATGCTCTAACTCTAATATATAATGATGCTAAGTAAATGAGATTAAAATAGATTTAAGATATTATCCAAGATTTGAGAATTTCGGGACTCACCTTGTATAAATGGTTTCGGACTCCCCACGGCCTGTCGTGTCCGGTGATGATTCAACCTAGTCCTGCAAATAAGAGCGAATAGCATGACTGATCCAAACAAAAGATAGAGGAGAAGGCCGTTTTATTTATTTATTTAATGAGGTTTTTTTAAAACATCATGCGAGGTGAGTTGGGTTTATTTCGTTTATAAATTAATTCATGTGTAGCTTTTTATATTTAGTTAGAACTATTGTCTTTTATATTTTTCCAAATTTCATTAATATAAATTTATGTATTTCCTTAAGTTTTTTTTGTGAATTAAGTTTAGATGAAACCTAAGTCTACAATTTTTAAATCATAATTTTCTTCGTTTCATTCATAATTTAATAATAATTTTTTTATTTATTATACCTGGTTATTTCAATATTTGAAAATTTAGCCACGTTCCCATTAATTTAATTTCCCCTTCTCTCTACACCTTCATTTCAATTTATTTATTGAATTACATTGATTTTGGTCGTTTATTTGATTTGACCATTAAAACATATTTAATTTCCTAGATCAAATTATTTATTTCCAATATACCCACTAAATAATTGATATGATATGATTATGGATTTGATGTTTTCTTTAATAAAATAAATATTTTCATAATAAAAAGTCATGACATAATTCCATTTATTTGCATATTCATTTAAATTTGTTTATTTTAATGAGTTTGTAATTTTTTTGAGAATTTGAAATTGTTGTATCTTCTTATTTAATTATTTGTGAAGTTTATCAAATTTTATTAATTTGTTGTTAATTTCGTTACTTTAAGTTGTCCAACAATCTTACAAAATTAATTTCCTGCATTCTAATCAGCAAGCATCAATTTTATACATTTCTATTCATCAAATTATTATTCATTAAATTTTTAATTTACTCATAAATTTAATTCATGCATTTCCGATTAATTATTGCATCAAAACCACCCAAGTATTCACCAAACATCACCAACATGCTTAAACAGAGAAAGCACATGCAAGATTTCAACCAGGCAGCAAACAAATGTAAGGAAAATCAACAAAATTAATTTTTCCGACACTTGTAGGTCTTTCGCGGTGGTTTTGGCCTCTTGGAAAGGTTACCCAGAACCCATTTTAGCATGATTACCAACCTCCTTTTAACCTGTTCAAACCAAAATTTAAGAGGGTTAAATGACGAGTTGAAAACATGCGAATGAGGTCTAAGGGTCACTACTATGTATACTGACAATCTCCTTCGCAAAAGGAATTAGTTAGTGGCTCCAAAGTTGTTTCAGAACTTGCCAACATTTCTAGATCTCTCGGATCAGTGACAAATTCGAGATTTTGAGTGAATTTTAACTGATTAAAGTTTTAAACTACATTGAGGTTCAAGTTTTAGCTTAAAATCGAACCAGAATTTAAAAAAAAAAAAAAAAATCAAAAGGAAAGTAGAGGGTCCTATCATGATACCAGTGGAACTGGGTTGACGGGTCACTCGAAAATTTGGCGTCTCTGGTGATGATTTTTTAAATCTGAACATGCCAAGATACGTTAGTTGGCTAGAAGAATCGAAGTGAATGATAGATCTTGGGTTCCGGAGGAAAAATTTCATCGATTTTTCGAAGTCGAGTTGTGTGGAACCCGGATGGAAATTGTCAGGACCCAGGCTGTTTTCGGCTTCCTTGCGTCGCACGACCATTGAAGGTCACGTCTCTCACAGCCACCTGCAGTGATCCGGTGATTTTCCTCATAATTGCTCTCTCTCTCTCTCCCCGACATCCCACTCTCTCTCTATTGGAATTTCTTCCTTCGGTCGATCGAAGGAAGAAGAAGAAAAAGAATAAAATTTTTGAAGGGCAGATGGGTTTTGGAAGATCTGGGTCATCCGTTCGCATGCAGGTGATCTGGGTCGTAGATGCGTTTAAGTGAGAGTGGCAAAATAGTCATTTCGTGTGTGCTTTGAATCTTGACTGCCCGATCAAAATTCCATGTGATCTGGACCGTTAAAAGTGCGCCCTTCTCATGAGAACGAACGGATCCTGACCGTTGAAGGGGAATCTTGTGTTGAAGTCGCTCAATCGAAGCCGTCCGTTCCTCTCTGTCTCACTGCTACCTGCTCGCGTGGCATCCGGTGGCACGCGATGGTTAGCTGGTGTGTACATGTTGGAGCAACATGTTTTAATTTTCGGACATCGTGTTTGGACACCAAACATGCGGATTTTCTTCAAATTTTAAATTAAAACAGCCCCAAATTTCTATATATATATATATATATATATATATTTTTTTTTTTACTTTTAACCTCTAATTTGTTTAATTTCATATTTTAAATTTTGTATTTTAAGTTTTTTAAATTTTCTAAATTATAATTAAAACTTTAAATGGTGAAGTTTGGATCTTTTAATTTTTTCTAAGACCTAATTTACATGTTAGAATTTTTGAGAATTTGCATTATCGTAAAAATTTAAAATATTACAATCTCCTGGTGTTACAAAAAAATATTTTCATTTTGCTGCTAGATATTTGTGTGATTCGAATGAGACTTGGGTGTGTCTTTAATGTTATTGAGGATTGCTTTTATTTATAAAACGTTTAAATTTTACATTTTTTTAATTTTAAATCTTTAATTCTGTTATATGAAATGTTATTAAAATAGTGATTCAGTAAAAATTCTTTCAATAAATAAAAAACATAAACTGTTGCATTTGATGAAAATAATTATTAATATTAAAATAATCTAAAAAAGTGAATTAATTATATTATACATAATATATATATATATAACTAATTTATATTATATGCAAATACATATAAAATACATAATATATGTATATAACTGTTTATTAAGGATAATACTTAAAAAATATTAAAAGTACTAGTTTTTAAAAGCATAGATTTTAGTTTCTATATTTAAATTTATCAAAATAAATTTTAATTTTAACTTTAGACTACAAGTAGTTTTAATTTTACATTCTTTATATTTTTATTTAAAAAAATCAGAAATTTTAATTTAGAAGCATAAAAATTGCAACTAAGAACTATAGCTATTTGAAAAAAAGAGTTACATGAACAAAATTCAAAACTTCAAGGCTATTATTCTAAACACAAAAATATAATGAGAAGTATTGTGAAGATGGGTAGGAACTATATCCAATAAGGTTTGGAAAGCGCCATTTCAAGAATTAATAAGCTTGCCAAAATATGCGAGACACTCTTGACTCGTTCTTTTTTAGTCTTCTCTAGGGCTAACTTAATTAGCCAAAAAAACACAAAAAGGGGAACGGGAGGGACCCCGATTAAATTGTTTACAGAGAAGCGAAGATAACCCTAGAAACTGGAAAAACTGAGCCAACTTTGACCTAGAAACGGAGGTACGTTTATCAATTTGTCTGTCCTTCGTCGGTGGTTTTTAATTTCTTCTTAGATCCATTTCCATCGGTTCTTATTCTTCGGGTGCAGAAAATCTTTTGCCATATTCAAGGATTTCTCTCTCTAATTATCTCGGTTTAGATTCAACATTTTCGTTAGTTGCCGCTGCCTTTTCTGTTTCTATATTGTATGAGACTGAATTCATATACGCATATATATTATCTGCGTGTATGTGTATGTGCTTGTATGTATATTGTGTATATTTGTATTTGTACATGTTTGTAGTTATCGTTAAGCAGCCTATGATATTTTGGATGTGTTAAAAATGGAAGTCAAAATTTTAATTTTACGGTTTTTTGGATGCATTAAGAGAACAAATTGAATGAAGAATATCATAAAATTCTACTCACAAACCAGAGTGCGAGGGAAAGAATGAAAACGAGGACAAGCCTACATGGTCATAACATTGCTTTAGTTTGGTGCTTATGTACTGTGTTTAGTGTTTTTACATATGTTTTAGGTAAGTTGAAGCTGATACAAAGAGGAGAGTTGATTGGAAGGGAAAGCACTAGCAAACTGCAGGCTGCATATTTCAGAAAATTTCTCCTCCTTTATTGTGTTATTCACTGAAGTCTATTGAGTGCATGGACGAGTAAATCTGCAGATTTTGAAGGTAGTTGAACTGGCTTTAATTTGATGAGCTAGACTAGAATGGCAGGCTACTCAGGAAGAGGAATCCCTCCAAACGGCTCTGTCTACATCTGTAATCTACCCCAGGGCACAGATGAAAATATGTTGGCTGAATATTTTGGCACCATTGGGGTGATAAAGGTAGGGTGAATTAATGGGCACTGTTTAGAGAGTTCATCCTATCCCATAGTTGCTAAAGATTCTATTCTTTTATTTGTGGTTTATGGTTAGAAAAGACTTGTAATTTAATTAATTCTCTATGCTTAATAGAAAGACAAGCGAACAGGTCAGCCAAAGATTTGGCTGTATCGTGACAAGGTAACAAATGAGCCAAAAGGAGATGCTACAGTTACATATGAGGATCCACATGCTGCATCAGCTGCTGTTGAATGGTTTAACAACAAGGATTTTCATGGTAACATTATTGGGGTTTTTATAGCTGAATCTAAGAGCAAAGATGGAGGAGATTCAAGTGATTTTCTTATATTGGAGGAAAATGCCAAGGATTTGAATGAGGGAAGTGGGAGAGGTAGAGCTCGATTGGATGCTTCAGGGAAACCATGGCAACAAGAGGGAGATTGGTTGTGTCCGAATACAAGGTCTGTGATGTGATATTGGTGAGCAGCTCATTCTAGCTCTTTTGTTCCATGATTTACTGCCTTTATTATGATTTTTATTATGTAAATCATGTCTCATGCTCGTTTCTGGAAGCAGTTGTGGCAATGTAAATTTTGCATTCCGTGGTGTGTGTAATCGCTGTGGAAGTGCTCGACCAGCTGGTGCATCTGGTGGTGGCATGGGGGCTGCTGGCCGTGGGAGGGGTCGTGGCAGCAATGAATCTCCTAACCATGCACGACAAGCTGGTACTTCTGGACTTTTTGGTCCAAATGATTGGCCTTGTCCCATGTAAGACATTCTTCCACTAATTCTTAAGTCACTGTGCAATAAATTAATGAATGTTTATTATCATGTCCACTTGCTATTGTCATGTAATTTTTTACACCTTTACTGTATTTTTGCTTTTAACTAATTGTTGAAGGCTATATTAACCTAGTTTAGTTTCATTGAAATGCAGTAGGTTAGCAACTAGTCGCTAGTAATGTGTTTCAACTTTGTTCTAAAAATGCCTTCAACTTTCGCTTTTCCTGTGGAGGGTGCCTTATGATGTTCTCCATGTTTGTAGTTCTTTTCTTCCTATTAAGTGCTTCAACTTTGAAACCCGAAGACTATGTTATTATGTCAATGTTTGCTGTAGAGGGGTTTTAAGAAATCCTTTCAAGCTTTTGTCTTTGTTTTTTCTATCTTTTTGGATGTGGTAGAAAGACAGTAGGTTAGCAACTAATTGCTAAAATAATGTGTTTCAACTTTTTTCTAAAAATGCTTTGGACTTTCACTTTACTCATGGAGGGCGCCTTATCATTCTCTCCATGTTTGTGGTTCTTGTCTCTAGTGTTCCAACTTTGAAACCTGAAGACAGTATTTTTATGTAAAAGTTTGTTGTAGAGTGGTTATGTAATCCTTTCAAGCTTTTTGTCTTGTTTGTTTCTTTCTTTTTGCATAATAGAAAGGAGGTCTTTTTTGGGATGGTGAAGTATCTGCTTTCTTGGTAGTTTGACATTTCAAAACTTGAGAATAGGCTTTCTTCAATTGGGTGAAAATGACACTGAGGTCTGACTTGGGAGGCTACAGGATAGGATTAGAGTTATCCTTACAAGCATGAAGAATTTCTTTAGGTTCAGTTTCTTATTTGGATTAGCATTAATAGTTTAGTAGGTTTTATATTCAGATTATGTTATGAAGCCCGTGAAGATTAGAGTATATTTACATAGAGATTTAGGCTGCTATTGGTATGCTAGTTTTTGTTTCTTGTAGTTATGTTCATACCTATATGACATTTTTTTTTTCATTTCTTAGGTGAAAATTGTGGAAAAAGAATTGAAATAAAGAAAAATGAAAATTGTAGAAAAAAACATGTATTTTGGTTGAAACTGAACAGAAGGATATGGCACTATTTCAAAAGTAATTTTTTTGTATTTGCTATTTTTAAAAACTGTTTCATGTACACATACACATACGTATTCGCATTCACGTTTGCATTTGTATTTTTGTACATACATATAAAATGGGTTTAAATCACGGAAAGATGCAGCATAATTTTGTAAGTGTTTGAAACTAGGTCCTACACTTTCTTTTGCATCTTTTCTAAAACCTGTATTTTTAAAATATCTTAAACTAGAACATTTCTGAAACTAGGATCTAATAGTAATTTTTTTTCCGTTAAACCACACTTAAATTGACTTTACACCTCCTATTGATAGAGTTAAAGTGATCTAATTGATTTATCAATGATTTCTAACCAATATGGATTTCATTATCACATCTGTGAAGAGTAAAAATGAAAATTTTTGTGAAATTTATTAGATGAATGACTTGCTTGTATTTTTCTTGAAATATAAGAAAAGTATTATTATGCACAGAGGTACCAAGGGGGCGCCGCCCATGTATAAAGTATAATTACAAGTCAATCAAGTGGTTCATGACACACCCAAAATCAAAATGACTTTGCTTGTACTAATCTAAGCCATTTGAAAAATGCAGGTTCTTGAAAGATAGAATTAAATGCATCAGTCTTAATTTGGTACAATAATAAAATAGATGACATCTTTATGTAATGTAACTTATAATATGTTTGCATATATGAGCACACATGCTTATATTGTTACAGTCGATAACGTGAAAGAAAAGGCTAAATACTCATGAACAGCAAGCAGAAAATAGGCAAACGAAAAAGAGTTGTGTGGAAATCTTTTGCTGTCCTTAGCTAGGTTTAGATGTCTTTTATTTTTTCAATTCCTATTTCTTAATTATCTAAATAAATAGGCTAATTAAGGAAGCGTACAATCATGGTGATAAGATTTCAGCCTAAAAATCATGCTGATTAGATTTTAGCCTAAAATCATGGTGGACTTATCCTAGATTTTAGGAAGAAGTCAATCCAATATTTCCTTTTTGTTTGTACTCAATTTTGGCCAAAAAAAAAAGAAGAGGGAAGATTTTTTTTGAAGGTTTAAAATCCTTTTTAACTCTGGAGATTGATGAGTTCTCTCTTGCAAGCCCTGAACTCTAGTTCTACATATCTCACCCCATGACCAGATCCAAATTCTGGGACCACAATCTATATGCATGTATTTAAAGGCATATAATGGATAAGAAATAAAAGCTAGAAAATGTTGACAAGCTACTCGAGGAGCCAAGGCTTTTGTCTGATCTCTTCCAATCCTCTGGCAGCGAAAACAAAGGGTCTTCTCTAGAGGGAAGAGTTGTGGGCTTGGAAGGGCATTAGTGGTCACAGAAAACAAGTGGAGATTATTCCGTCAAGTATATTTTGGGTGGTGTGGGAGGAAAGGAATAAAAGGGCTTTTGATGGAGTTGAGGATGTTGATGGTTTTGATATTCTTAAAAATAGATGGTTTTAGACTTTCGGTTTTTTTGTTAGGGGATCGTCCTCTGTATTTTAGGGAGGATTTAGAGAACTTCTTGATACTCTAATTGATTTGTAAGTTTTGTATATAGACAGCATCCCCTTATATACATTTCACATTTTTTATTTAAAAAAAAGTTTGCTAATCTCTAAAGATATAGGGTGTAAAAATTAAAGTGCATAATCGCTGTTAATTGGCAATACAACCCTTTGTCTCATAGAATGATTTCCCTCATTGGGCTGTGGACAAAATAGTTTTAGAAGCAAGATCTAAAGTGTCCCATTTTACTTTACTCTCAGTAGGTTTCTTGAGAACTTAATTCTCTTACCCATAATATTGCACAATGGTTAACTCATCAATTTTTTTGGGATCCGTTCTATGTTTTGTATTGAATTACTGTATTAACATATTTATGTGTGGGTTAAAAAAACTAGAAAATTTTGTCGTTATATCAAATGTGGCCTCAAACTTTATTTTTCTTTAGCCTTTTATTTTCTTTAACTAGATTTTTGCCCTCTGCTAAGAATGGACTATATAACTGAGATGTGATTATTAATATTTAGACGAAAATAAATTTTTAATTAGACGATCAGTAATAGTTTTAATTAGACATATAAGTATGTAAGCCTATGGATTATTAAACACAGAGACAAACAGATATGTGATTATTTGAGACAATCTTTTTCAATTGTTAAATCCGAGAAACTCTAGCATGTATGTCAAGGTTCCTTAATGTTCACTACTGCTCTCAGCTCGAGATAGCTCCGTAATCCTAAGCGGGTTGGTTATTTTAAATTTTCCAACATCACCAGGAGATGGCCATTTGGGCCCAAGACCTGGTATAATTTCATTTGTTTTGATAGTTCTAGGTTGCATATGGCTTTACACCTTATAATCTATTTATGGTGTCTGTACGTAAGCCCAGAAACATAATTGGTAAGATATTTGGTATACGTGATATTTGAAAATATATGTAGTATATTTTGTTTATTAAGATCTGGTATAAACTATGTACTTGTAGTTTATTTGATATTACAAAAATTTGTTATTATTATTATTTTCTTTTGGTGTTTGAGAACAAATTTTGGATAAATATCTAAAGCATTATAGGTAAATAAATCTTGATGTGTGGTATTATTTATTGGTCTTGTCATGTATTTGCATTGCAGGTGTGGCAATATAAACTGGGCAAAGCGGACAAAGTGCAATATCTGTAACACCAATAAACCTGGTCATAGTGAAGGTGGTGTGAGGTATGACATGATGGTTTCTCCATTAAGAGTGTCTGACATGGTTCTTTATTTGGCATTTATAGATTTCAGTCATTATATTACCATCATATTGGAATAAAATTTAAAAAGAAATAGAAGACCAAAATCAAATTCACTACCAGTAAAAATAGGATGCACAATCAAAGGATCAAAAACAAAGATGGTTATAGACATTAGCTTAGCAAATTGCCATTAAAAAGAGAAGCTTGCACCAATAGCTAAGGAAGAAGCAGAGTCCATGACCATAGTAATGGAACCAAGGAAGCAACTTCTTTTTAACATAAGGGAATCTAGTTCCAGCTTCAAGGACTCTTCCTACTTCCGGCTTGCTACAATTGGTTAGAACAAGACCTCCAAATCTAGCAATCACTTCTATGAGATTTAGGAAAACAGCGGGAATATCAAAATCAACATTGACACTCTCTCTCACAAGATTGAAGAGCTTAACTTGTCTCCTTTCTGAGATGTGTTGGCATTTTATGGACTCTTGAGGACAGTTACGAATCAGTGGGGGAATTTATGATTTTTACTCCGATGGAATTTTATACTCTCCCGAAAATGTTATTTCAGTCCATAAAAATAAAAGCAATTCATTAATTAAACAATAAAAATAATAAGATAAATTATTAATAGATTGTCTTGACTTCACGACCAAATCCTTTGGAACCAAAGAATTGTCAAAACCATCATGGGAAGTCAAAATGTCTGAACCCTCTACAGAGATAAAAATGATTCATCCTTAAGCAATCAGCAATTGAGAAACAAGTTTTTGACTATTTGTTCATTGATTGTTAACCAGTTAAATCTATTCAAAATCAAGCGAGTTTGCCCTTAAACCAGAAACACCAAGAGTCAATTTTATTTGAGATCAGAACACGTTCAAGGAGATTGAATTAGAGAAATATTCTTTTGTAAAAGGAATTAAGCTAGAGTTTATACTCCATTTATTGAAACAAACAAATTTATTACTTTGTGACATGATTTTTATCTGTCCATTTAGATGCAAAATTCGCCGTCATAACTTTATCTAATCCTGATCCCATAAAGTTTCATCAAAGAGTGAAATCTCTGTTTGCTAGCTCCGAAATTAAGATTGCTGCACTTGGGTGGTGATACAGGTCTTCCATGTCTAAGTGAGCAAACAACCCAAGGACTTCCCATTGATACTTCAACCGGTTAAGTTGCTTCATTTTTTCTTCTTGTTGTAGATCCAGGTCAATTTGATTACTTGAATCTAGAGAGTAAGCAGAAGCTAGTATTTACATTGACAGTAAGTGTAAGCAGAGAGAAGTTCTAGACTTCAGAGAGTCAAACCATTAGTTTTTATCTATCATATTTTTGAGAATACAATGAAAAGATATGAGCCAAAACTTGGACTTGAACCTGTATTTTTCCTGTATTTTCTTGAATGAAAAATGTCTAAAAGGATTAAAACAAAATAAAAATCTTATGGTTATCAACAGTGTTGTCACAACCACAGTTAGAGGCTCATCGAGGCACTCCATCAATCAGAGGATCTGTTGGTTTTATTTGTTAGCAATATTCTTCAGAATAAGATATCACTCTATGCTTTCTAGGGCTCCTATTTGACTAGAATAGTCAATGGGACGCAACAACTAAATAAGATTGTAGCTAAATAAGAATAATAAACCTTTCAAAATGATTCTGTGTCTTAGCATTCAGATGCGATAATGGAAATGCTAGAACATGATTTTGAATTTTGTACTTTTAATTAAAACTACAGCAAGAAAGCTGGTAATAGTTATCAACACTTGTCCTTCACAATCTATGTTGTGGTGAAACAATCTTTTCCACTGCATAATTTTCTTTTGAGAAGTTTTCCGCTGTAGGAACAATAAGAACCTATTTTCCAATGAATTGGGTTCTTTCATAAGCCGAGTATTTTTTTTTGGCAGAAGTCTCTTATTCTATTATTAACATTTTGTTGCTTTCTTCTTAGGATTTTAAGAGTAGTTGCAAAAATTACCGCTAATACAAGTTTAAATCTTTTGCTAAAAGGGGTGGAAGAGGCGGTGGCTATAAGGAACTCGATGAAGAAGAAATAGAGGAAACAAAGCGACGTCGGCGGGAGGCCGAAGAAGTAAAGTCTTCTTTCCTAGCTTTATTTGCATCACATTCCATGTTTTCTTTACTTAAAAGTTTTTTCTGACATGCTCAGGATGATGGTGAGTTGTATGATGAGTTTGGAAATCTCAAGAAAAAGTTTCGTGCCAAAATGCAACAAGCTGAAGCAGGACGACCACTTCCTGGAGCTGGGCGGGCTGGCTGGGAGGTTGAGGAACTAGGTACTTGTCTTTAATTTGGCAATTTGTTCACTGCAAATCATATACTTTTCTAGTGTCGGGGTTGCATGATAAAGACTGGTATTCTTCTGAATATTACTATCTGAAACAGCATAAATTGTTTACGAGTTGTTCCTAGTGAGCATGTTAGAAATCTATATTTTATGCATTGCTACAAAGTGTTTAATGCTGGAGATTTCATTAAATTTGGTCCTTTGCTTTTCAAAAGATTTGGCCCCTTTGACATGATCACCTCTGTTTTATAAGTCAGATAAAGACAGTGAATGCTGTATAGATAGGTTTCTTCTATTCAAAACCTTGCACATTATATGCTAAGCCAGAAAAGTGTCATCATTTGTAATGGGGCTCTGTTAGGCTGAGAACATTGGCAACTCAAAACATTTTGGAGGAACTGGCAACTGGAAATAAAATAAATGGGAAAGTAACTAATTGTCTAGAGGAGTAACTAAACATTTGAGTTGACATTATCCTTGTACGGTGCCAAATACTGACTTCTTTTCTCTTATTATATTTATTCTAGCACTGACTTCTTTTCTCTTATTGTATTTATTGTAGCTTATTTATCTTTTTTTCCGATTTGTTGTATCTTATTTATTTTATCTTTTGACTGAAAACTGGATACTATTATTCAGTCACCAGAGGGAGATCATGTACAAATATGGAAAAGATTTGGTACTGGACATAAATCTATAAGGTCCACAAGTTATCATTAACAGTAGTGGCACTGGCTTATCCAAGAGTAGCTATTTATCTTTTTTCTTATTTCTTTGTTGATCTATTTATGATCTTTTGACTGAAAACTGGATAGTGTTATTCAGTCACCAGAGAGGGATCTTATACAAATGTGGAAAAAGATTTGGTACTGGATATATATCTTGAAGGTCCACAAGCTATCTAGCAAGAGTAGCACTGACTTATCCCAGAGTAGCACTGACTTATCCCAGAGTAGCTTATACATCTTTTTTCTTATTTCATTTGTTGTATCTTATTTATTGTCTTTTGATTGAAAACTGGATACTATTATTCAGTTACCAAAGGGAGATCATAAACAGATATGGAAAAGATTTGGTACTGGACATATATCTGTAAGGTCCACAAGCTATCGTTAACAGGAGTGGCACTGACTTATGCAAGAGTAAACTGAATACATCCAATAGTCTCTAACCCTATTAAAATGGTATCAACTCCGTAAAAATTTCCTCTTTCAAAATAATCTAGATTCTGAAGATGTAAGCAAGGATGAGTCCTCCTGCTGTATTCCTCCATTGCTCTTTGGAACACCTGTCAGTCGCTGATTTTTTCCGGACCTGACCCAGCCACCACCTAGTTCCCCACAAAGATAGCAGTTCTCTATGACTGCCTAGTCCAAACATGCCAAAAGGAGGAGATGGTTGGGCATCTTATTGACATACACAAGAAACACTTGTTCACCGGTAATACCTTTCCGGAGAGGTTGTTCATAGTGAGAATCTGCTTTCAGTCATTCATCTGCACAAAAATGCCACCGGCCAAGAGGTTTCCAAGGAATATTGTTCAAAACTCCCAGCAAGAGATGTAGGCTCTTGGTAGCTTTTGACTATGAGCTGGACTTAGCTGTTGAGGCTCCATATCGTCTTGCTCTCTGCCCCAGGCATCCAGGGTGAACATGGCAGCCATACTTATTATAGCAAAGAAGACACTGACCTAGTTCCCAGCCTTTGTTCATTTATCAATTAATTTATTTTCATTATTAGATAATTATTTTCAAAATTTTTGAAGATGCATGGACTGTTAGATTCTTTTGATGATAGGGATGAACATAGACCACCTTTTGTGGGACTTTGGTCTGTTTAATTCCTAAAACTGATACTATATCTGAGGTGGCTACTCCAAATCTGCAGTAGTCTTAGAGAGTTAGGCATTTATGTGTTCTCCAAAATTTTGTAGAGGTGGAAATAAATTATTTCTCTTCCAGTAAGCAAATATTGCGGATGTTGTTTGGTTTCTGTTAGTGTCAAACTCTGTCTAAATATTGCTTGCAACTAATTAGCATTAGCATTTCTTAAAAAAAAAAAAAACTAATTAGCATTAGCATTGTTGATAAGAGTGAGTTTATTTAGAATAAAAAATTATTGATAACAGTGAGTAGATGAGGTTCTTTTGAACTGGATGATACTTCCTGTGTGGTTTTTTCATTAGGAGAGTGAAATTGTGGCAGGTGTTGTGGACAGAAATGGGAGAGAGAGAAGCAGAGACAGGGGAAGAGAACGGGATAAAAATAGAGAACGAGATGATAGGGAGAGGCGCCGAAGTCGAAGCAGGGAAAGGGATAGGGGCAAGGATCGTGGCCGTGACTATGATTATGATCGAGACCGAGACTATGGGCGGGACAGGGATCGTGATCGGGACAGGAACAGGTAGTGTCACAGAAGATTTAAAGATATACCAAGTTCTTGGTTTGTTTTCTCCATGTCTGGGTGGATGGAGTTGTTTTGGGCTGGTGGCCAACATGGGATTTTATTGGAACTTAATTAAATTGGCAACTATAGCCTCCTGATTCTGGAACTAGCTTCTGCACAATTTCTGATAAATATTTTTGAATTATCTGTATTCTGATGTAGTTTCTTGTTAATGATTTCTTCTGTGAGGGAAA